AGCAATCAAAGCAGACGCTCTCCACATATTGAGGGTTTATTTGCTGAGAAAAATGTCAAAATAGTAAACTTTGAACCCTGAACTTTTAAGTGCAATTTGTTGATATATTGAATTGTGAAGAGGTGCTGTTTTCACACTAACTCATGTGGTTTACACACTTGCAAATGGTTTATCTTGCAGAGTCTTTATTATTCCTGGGTAGCTGAAGGGTGCAGCTAGTATACTTCTTTTGTCCATCTTTCCTTAAATCTTTCTATATATTTATTATGTCCTCAAGTATTCACCATGTCCTTAACTTATATAGTCATTATTGTTACAGTGTACTCCAGTCACTAACTCTTTATTATCAATATATATATATATATTTTTTTTTTTTTTTTAATTGAAATGAGTGCATCATTGCCTTGGTTTCTTGTTGGACTAAAGAGTTTTTATCTTGAACAGGACTTTCTTTAATTTCAATAGTTTTCAGTGCCCTCCACCCTTTTGACTCAGTCCTATCGCTACTATCAGAGATGAGTATAGTCGAACCTGAGTAACCATTGTTGAGGACAAAAGTGGCTGTCTTCTTAGGCAGGACTGATGTAAATGAAGAAAACAAACCATTCCCTTTTGAGGTCCAAACTGGAGGTGGTTACAGGCTAAGGACTGGCATAAGGCTAGATTCTAATTAAAAAATAAAATGGGATTTTTTATTTTTTTATTTTTTTGGGGGGGTAGGAACGTTTTTGTTATTGTTTTTTTAACATTCCCTTCTGAGTTCCATACTGGAGTTGGCTGCAGGCTTAGGACACTGGATTACATTTCTACATTGATGCCATCATCAACAGCTGAATTTATCTGAATTGAATGTGTGAAACATTTTGGTTAACAGAGAGACAATCTCACGACTGCTGTAAAAAGTGTTAAATTCCACAAAGTGTATCAAATGAGGGAGACTGTGTGTAACTGCAAGGGTAAAACAAAACGACAGACAAGGAAGACAAGGTTAAAATAAACACGTGGGTCGCCACTACTCAGAGAATGAGCAACGCTTCTGTCGCAAATTCATGAGTTCAAGTTCATGTTCATTTTTAAAGACCGGGTAAACAGTGACTGGTCACCTCACTTATGATTTGTGTTTGAGTTGTGGATGGTGCTTGTATGTTATGACGTACCACACGTTTCCCTCGCCAGCAGCTTAAAATTTATTGTTACTGGGTGGTCAACTTGGATGAACAACAGTGGGTGGGACCTACCCGACATGATTGGACATTGGAGGGAGTAGCAATAACAACAGGTGAATGGATTATGACGGCTCGTCCACGGTGTTAGGAGCCAATACATAATTCATAAATGACAAAGCGTTGGCCAATGAGAGATTTGCATGGCTGTACTTGGACAGGTTTTTGGACTTTTTTCATTTTCGGTATTTTAAATAGGGTAGCCCTAGCTGCTTTGGACAGGTGGCCATTTTACACAGTGAAATTTAAAATAGAAAAGACGCAAGGGTTAAATGGAAAGTGGCCGTTTGTACAGGTAGCCATCTTGGCAAGTTTGACTGTATTTGGAATTGCCATCTTTTAGATTACAATAACCTTGCAGTGTTTACACACATAAAATATAAATGTATCAAGCTGTAGATGAGACTCATGTCAGACTACAATGTCTCTCCGTTGAAACTACCACAATTTTTCATTTGATTTTGTTTTGTGTCTTAGAATTTATTTAAAATTAAAAGGTTTGCTTGATTAAAATACTGAGCTGGGTTGTTGTTGGGGTTTGTTTGGTTTTTATTTTTTTATTTTTTTTTGGGGGGGGGGGGTTATTTTGTTATGTTTTAGTATTAGCAAAGATTCTCTACTTTTGTATTAGGGGTATTCGCCGTTGTTTTGGTTCTTTTTGTTTTTTTATTTTTGTTGGGATTTTTTTTTGGAGGGGGGGGGGGGGGGGGCGGATGGAGAATTTTTATCAAATTCAGGACGATCTGTTGAGTTTATTTCAGATATTACTCTTTGTATTTATTATATGTCTGAGATCTTGCTACCTTGTACAATGATGTCTTTTGTTTTTTTCCTTTTGTCCTCTTTCATAGACACCACTAACATTTCTCCACCACATCATTGTTTAGTGTTGGTCAGCCACCTGTTGTGCATCGGTCTGGCTCTTCACCACTGCACATGATAGAAGACATGAGATCAGTTCCTGTGTGGGGAAAGTCTCTCTCTCAGTCTCTCTGCTGGCATGTGGTGTCTCATCTACCAGGTGGGCCAGCCCAGGCAGTCATTCAGCCTGGGCTGGCCCACCTGGCAAACAGGGTTGAAGCAGCCCACCTCCTCTTACTTTTCCCTATTATGTCAATTCTATTGATTGAGGCATCAGACTTTTATATATTTATGCGTTACTAATGAAGTATTGGTAACCTTAATGATTTATAAATATAAAGGTGCTGCAGAAGGCTACAATCTATTGTTGCATGGTCACCGCCATTTTTTTGCATTTTAAATTTATTTTATATTGACATCTGGCCAGTGATTTTCAAGGTTCAAGGCCTTTTGATTGTGAGAGTGAGCGTGTGTTCACATGTATCTAAGGTGTGTTATGTTATATGAATATTTACCTATGTATTGTAAACACTGCCCCCATAGTTCCAGGATTTTTTCCAATGTACTGTATAGATCAATACAACACACACAAGAGATGCGTTAAGATAGCAATAACAATAAATATGCGGTTGTGAATGTGATTCAAGTCAGGATTTGTACAAACTCTGTGTGTTATTATTACTTTGATATTTTAGAATATTTTACTTCATTCCCATAAACTTTATCTCTAAACATTCCTCTGTTCATTCTGCGTTGTTCCAAGTTAATTTTGACTTGTGGCAGCTTGAATAATTTCATTTCTACGGCAGTCACTGATGTTCTTATCTGTGGTCTTCTGATACAAAGAAGTTGAGAGTTTATGGTAAAATATAGTAAATGATGGAGGAGAGTTGGTGAATCAGGTATTTATTTTCTGCCTTACACTTCACTAGTAATTATAAGATGGTAAAGCATGAACTTTGTGTCCTCTCCAGTCAGTTGCAGTGGTGAAAATAGTCTATTTTGCACACATGTTTTCAGTCTCCACTAATTCCTTTTTATTGTGTTGGTTTATTGCTTTTTTTATTTTAATGTTCGCTTTCTGCTCATCTTTTTGCCTCTAGATTGAAGTTTGCAATGGTTGTAGTCAATAGCATTTTTAATTTACTGAGCTTTTTCAATTGCATTCTTGTTTTGGGGTACCATCCTATCTGTAGACATATAAATGGATTTGAAAACATATATATCACTTGACTCCTTTCCTTCTCCCCCCAATATCCATGCAAAAACAGCAGTGCCCTGGCACAATGGAAGAGAAAACATATTTATTTATAATTATAACTCTCAGATTCCAATCTCAACCTTCCATAGAGTATGTTTTTTAATATGGCAATCAACTCCACCACCCATGCCATCACTGCTGTGGTGTCATCACTCTCTTCACATCTGCTCACAGAAGTGATTTCCCATTTATAAAAATTCTTTAATTAAGTAGATCTACATGTAGGCCCTGTCTCTGTCTGCCTGCTTTGAAGCTGTATCTCACTCTGGCAAGTTAGCCCCGAGCAGCAGAGTGAAAACAGCTGGCTTCCTTAAAATTACTTAATCCTGCGTAAAAGTAAAAGTACGGTACAAGTCTTCTAATGCAGTGTTTCTGAAGATTATGGAAATCTGATGATAATAGAAAGATAATTCTCAGACAAGAATGAGTTAAATTTTATGGGACAGCATATGGATCTATACATGTAGCCTATTGATTGACAAGTTTCATGTAGATCTGTCACAATTTGATTTATAAACCACATACAGTATACCACAGGTTGCTGGAATTCGTCAGGATCTGCCTTGGTAGTTTGAGGGATAGTTTTAACGCTTAAAAGGCTACTTGCACTGTAAGCTTTCCGGAAAGCCAAGAATGTTTTTTAGTGTCGTAGGGTCTGCTGGGGTAATTTTAGCTGTAATTAAAGAGCATAGAGCAACTCTTATAAATTAGTTGTAGTAGTAGTAGTAGTAGTAGTGATACATTTTACAAGGAGGCAGTTTTTGCATTCATGAATTAGGAATGATGCTGTTATTTATGAGTGTGAATGATGTTTCAATCTTGTTCAGATCCAGTTTCAAAATGCATTTCATTTTATGTGATTTTTTAATGTACTGCTTTAACAGTTTTTCTTTTAGTTATATAAATATATTTATTATAGCATAGTAACTTCGTATTTATGGAATAATGTTAATAACATACTACTACGCAAGGTAATGGTTGCTTTGTTGTTCATGTTTGTTCTTTTTTCACTGTCGATTAAGATGGTAAATAAATGGAAAAATAAATTTAGGTTTCAGATCAACCAAATATGAGCATTCTTTTACTTTGTCAAAGATATAAATATAATGGGTTAAATGTGTCTTCAATCAGATGGAGACACACAGAAAGTTTTGCATCTCTGGTTAACTATGACAAGAATACTGTCATCTTTCTGCTGCAATGTAAGTAGCCTATATATGCCTGCAGCCTGAGCAGGCCCCAACAGGCAGTGTCAAATCACCCCACTCCTGTTCTCATGCAGGCATGCCTCTTTCTAAATTGTGTCAATGGGGGCATTCAACCTACTTTACGGCAATAGGAACTTTCACTAATGACACGTAATTCATACTTTAAAATGCTACATTTTTGGCTTAGTTTGGAACTTGGAAATTAAGTCCATCTCGAACTCAATAGAGCATGAAAACAGAGAGCTCTTTGAAAACTATTCACATGAGCTTGCTTCTGGAACACCCCTAACAAAGATTCAAACCCAAGTGGCCCATACTATAAGTCCAGAATAATACAAACTGTGGTAACAGCACAAATAAAAATTTCCATGCTGTCCTGCCACTTCAAACAAGTTGAGGAATGAAAGAAAAGTGTTAACATTCAACACGACAAAATAAACCATCAGTCTTCTTTAAATGGGTAAATTTTATGTCATCAAAACCAACATCATTGAAGTTGTAAATAAACGATAGAAAAACAATGATTTCAAATCTATTCTCTGCCAAAGTATGACACACCACAACAAAATTACTATGGCTATCAGATTAATATAAAATTTTACTACAAATAAATAAATAATGTACATATTTTACAGGGCAGTTATTTGCTGTGTATAAAATCACTATTCTCGTTGTCGTAAATGAAAAATGAGTTGTTGACTCACTCTGCAATGCAAGGCAAATACAGGAATTTACTTAGATTCTTGTGACAGCAATGACATGAGAAACCCAGTATGCCTAGAGAACAGAGAGAATCATCTCAAAGTGTGTCAGAGCACAAGAGGCCATATTACTTCTCTAGCTGCAAGAGTCATTCTATTATCTTCTCTTATAATTTAAAGGATTGGTGAAAGCTACATTTCCATTGCCACTACTCTGTCACTGATGTACGTATGTTTGCATTTGAACACATGGCTCAGGAAAGACTATGTGCATGCCTTTATGTGCATTGGTCAGCGTCAAGAATTATGTCCAGTCAAAAGTCACAAAAGCATGAAAAGTTATTGACTGTCAAAATCAAAACAGTCTCTTCTGAGTAACAGACTTTACCCCAATAACATGTTACTATTAAAGAAGGGCTTAGTAACATACTCATGGACAATCAATAGATAGCTGCAGAACAGAGAGAAGTGGAGGTCATGATCGCCCACACCAGTCGACAATGCACCAGATGATGATGATGATGAAATAATAAACTATCGTGCAGGAAAATATAATCCAGATAAAATAAAGTTTTAACTCTAGTCTAAAGACTTAATCAAGGACATCAGAGATTCATCTAATCTAATGATAACGATTTTTCCACCATAGACAAAAAGTAAGGAACATTGCAAAGTCGAACTGTCTTACAGATTCAATTTATAACATCTACTAATATTCTAATGCTCGCAAAGTCTCTTTCATGAATGACTAGCCTGAACTTGAATCACTGTTCTATCATGTCCACTGGGCTTCCCCAATCGATACTCTGAACTGTCACATCAGACCTATTGTCCTCAACATTTTCTACACCAGAGTCTGAGTCCACATCTTGCTGGTCCTCGTCCTGTAAATCATCATCCTCATCTGAAACATCATCATCATCCTCCTCCTCATCATCTGAACCAGTACTATGTATGAGGTGGACAAGTTCATCAGCCAGAGCACGAACTTTGGGGTCATGGTGATGCTGACATGACTCTATACTTAACAGAATATCTGCAAAATTACCTGATGCCAGAGATGAGGTTCCTATACCAGGCAAAAAGTTGGGTTTCAGTTCTAAGATCGAGCTGATGTGCTGCAAAGACGTACTTGGTGTATCTATTGTGTTGTTCATAAAGGTGGGGGTGGAAGGTGAGGTAGTACTTGAACTCTTCAGTGCCCAGCTCATTTGGGGCATTTGTGTACTCCCGGAAGGAAGAGTTGAGTCAGTTGAGAGTCTTTGATCGGACAATTGGGACAAATTCAGACCACAGAGAGTCTGGGGATGGCGGGGAAGTGACACAGTCGTTGAAGGGTGTATAGAACACCCATATTGCACAAGAGAAAAAAGTGATTCTGAAACAGTGTCCGGTTTCCCCTTACCTAGAGGTGTTTCAGAATGTTTTTGCTGAGAGACCACTGACAGGGCCAGTTGTTGTAAAGATAGAACACATGAACCCTGCACTGCACTACTTCCACACAATGAGGGTGATATATTATTGTCTGGGTTGTCAGTGCATGAAGCTAAATGAGCGCCAAAGTTGTCCACTAAGTCAGACACAGATAAATTTTGAGACAACCCAGGTTCAGCAATTGGAGAGTGGCTCTGATTCATCTCTTGAGCTGTCATTTGTGATGACGATGTAACTTCACACTCACTCAGAGACGCATCCAGCTCAGATATCCTTGTGAAGGTAGAAAAAGTTGGGGAGTTGAGCTGAGACGTTGACGCGTGGTGCAAACAAGCCGGACTGGCACGCCCAGGACTAGATGAGTAGCCTGAGCAGGCAGAGCTGTTCAGAGAGTCTGACTCGCTGTCCACGTCCTCAATCTTTTCCTGGCAGATAACCTGGCTTACGCGCTGAAGATGAGACTCCAACTCGTGGAGAAGAGGATTTGAATCATCTATCTGCTCTTCCTCTTTGAGAAAACGTACAACTTCTGACGCACAGTCTTGGAAACCTTCCAAGAACAAATTCTGTTTTAGGCTATTTCGTCTAGGTCGGGAAGTACTATATGGAGCAGAGCGAGCATGTTTCCTTTTGTCTGCTTGTGGCCAGTTCATTGCAGTAGATTTGGGCGACCCCGACCACGTTTGCAGGAGAGAAGGGAACCCACATGGAGACTTTTCAATGTGGAGGGGTGACTTGGTCAGAAGACAATGCAGAGGCTCCTCCTTGTGAGCCGTCACAGAATGACAGGGTGAGTGGAGCTCCTGCAGACAGGCCTCAATGCCTTCTGTCATTCTGCAGTCTGATGAAGAAAAAAAATACACAACATAATGTACATAATATGTATATATATATTATTATTGATATATGATCTTGTCACTCAGGACCATCTGAAACCAGCGAGGAAAAGGGCACGTTTCTGGGTCCCTTAGTTTGCCATTGGGATTAAGTCTAACCTTAACCAAAACAGTATGGTAACAGCCACAGTATAGCAATAAAAATGCAAAGAAGGTAAAACAGTATCTTCTAACCCTTCACATCCTGCCAAGGTTCTATAATTAAAACACTCAATAAATCCAATACATGTACAGGTATAATATTGCCACCAATGTGTATACTGTATGACACTGGTAAAACTACCTGTGCTGACAACATCCCAGCAGACAAAAGAAGATACTCGACTAAAAAAATCTTCCCACAGGAATCGAACTCGCATCTTATACACTGTACTTCTATGTGCGACAGCAAAACGCATAACTACTACACGTGGGGAGGGGGGGTTGATGGCAACTGGTAGCCTGGGGTATGCCAGAACGATTCAAAAGATACCTAGAACATGTAGCATGTAACTCAGAGGCAAGCCCATAAAAGTGTTTGTTTGTTTGAGTTTGAAAGGTGGACATTGACAGAACAACTGTCATTTAGTGTAGAGAAAAAGTAAGAAAGATAAACAGAGACAACAGAGGGAATGAAAAGAAGTAGTTGGACCTACCAACAAGTACCACTAGTGGCAGCCTTCTTCTCAACGCGACCCAACCAACTAGTTGAACTTTTTAGAACGTACACAATCCAGGTGGTCACGGGGGTGCGAGGTCAAACTAACGCGCAGAAAGTTGTTTCATGGGGGAAGGAGGAGGGGCGGGGGCAGCTAAAATAGGCACAGCACACAAGGGCAGTTAGCTGACAGGTGTATAAGGGGGGGGGGAGTATATAATCGACAAGGAGGGGAGGGGGTGAACTGTTTGCGTCCTTGTTACCCAACAAGACAATCTAAGGGGAGAGGGTGTGATTAGGGAGTGTGGGCGGGAGGGGAGGGGAGAAAGAGACAGAAATATATTTTTGGGGGTACCGGTAAGTGTTTTACGGCGCTCGCAACTGCACAAAGTCATATGTTATGAGCGCGCGGGACACAACTTTTTCAGTTGGTAGGAAAATTTGAATTTTGCCCGGGTGCCGGCCTAAGCCAACTCTTATCGATTTTGGACCACCAATGGATCTTTAACGTGCGCAACTTGCACACGCGACCTCCGAGATTTTTTGCCCTTGTCCAAGAAGGCATCATGTGTAGATCTTTTCTACCAGAAGATCAGGGGTGTGGCTGAAAGACAGCAGTTAGAAGGAGCCAAGGAGTAGCAGTAGAAAGGCTGCAGAAAGAGTCAGGGGCCCAGAGGAGGGGGCAAAGGGGGTGAGGGTGGAGACGAAAGCAGAGGACAGAACATTGTTAGAGAGCAGGAAAGGAGGTGAAAGGAGACAATTTTAGAGAAAAAAATTATGTCGCTATCCGGATTTGAACCCGGGATCTATTGAATGAGAGGCGAACACCTTGATCTCTTGGCCACGAGAGCCCCCGATAGAAAGAGAAAGAGAGAGACACAGAGAGAGAGAGAGAGAGAGAGG